TATATGTATACATATATGTTCTTTTTCCGATTCTTTTCCATTATAGGTTACTGCAAGATATTGAATATAGTTCCCTGTGCTGTACAGTAAATCCTTGTTGGTTATCTATCAACTTTCTTTTTTACATTAATCACATACCACAAATACCCATCCATGGCAGTCAGAGGCTCATTCTTTCTAAAGTTTCCATAGTATTGCATTCTATAGCAGTGATGTTTTCCCAATCAGTTTTCTATTTTTAGACTCAGGTTGCTTCCAGTGTTTTTGTTATAACCAACTACACAGCCATGAACATCCTTGAGCATTTCCCTCTGCTCGTTTGTTGGGATGGATCTGAATAATAACACCATTTCCCACCAGGAGTCTGGAGATCTCATTTTGGATTTTCCCTTTGCATAGTTGAGAGATATAGTTCATCCTACCCAACACTTAGACAGGATAAGAACCTTCTCCCCTGGATTCAGTACGCCCTGCAGCACTCAGATGGAGTTGCAAAATAAAGCCCACTCCAATTTCTTCGTATATTTACTTTTAAATGCATATTAATCTCAGATGCCCCTTTCTACACATTCTGAGCAAAGAGACATTAACATTTTATTAACAATTCATCGCAGCCTCACCTGCTCTGCCAAAGACATAACTAAGATGATCAGTTTTGCCTGAGTACCCACGGACATGGGCTTTGTGGGCTCAGAGGAGAGAAGAGACTCCAAACCAAATGAAGCTCCAAATGAAACACTTGCCCTGCTGACCTCTGGCACAGAACCCCAGAAATCATTAGCCGGAGTGCCTAGGTAGCTGGGACTGCTGGACGATATGGAGCAGCAGGGGAATCCTTACAAAGCTCACATCCTTAGCGTGTACACACACAAGACTGCAGAGTGAAACACAGGCAGGTTGAAAAGCCTGCATTATTTCTTTTACCCATTAAAATTCTTAACTCCCCTCAAACATTACCAATCAGTATTTTCTCTGCAAAAGAATCCAGACAATTTTCTGCACTAGTGAATATAATAATAAAATTATAATAATTCTAAAGGAAAACCACTCATTTTGCACATTCTTGAAAGTTCAAATTCCAAATGTGGCACAAAATCAAAGCTCTGATGCCACTGGTGATCTTGTAAAACTGGCAATTTAAAAATCAGTTTAACAAAACTGTTGATTTCACCCATCTGGTTTAGCATATGCATTTTTTTTCTAGTCGATCTGTAACTAAAAAACGTGCCTTGTTTATGGAGATTAATGATATACCAAAAAACAAACAAAGTAGAAGTAGGAGCCATTTTCCCATTTTCCTTTCTTCCTGCACCAGAAGCCAAGGAAACAAAAGGCACCACCACTGATCAACTCTCGCTATTTTCCAAGTAGCCCAGCAGTTTTTATTTTGCTGTTTTTTCTTTTTTTCAGCCATGCCATAAGGTCATTGTATGTGCGCTCTTCGTTAAGAGGCAAAAAGCAGAAAATGAGCAGGTAGTCACATACTGAGGAAGCCAGAGTCAAGTCTGATTGAGAATTCAGGAGGAGAAAGGCAGACTCTTTCCTTGGGAGGGGAACAGGACATCGATAGGAAAGTCATTTTTCGTTCCAAGCTTCCAAAAGGTGTAATGCAACCAGAGTAGAAGTTTGAAAGGCGGGACGTGGAATGAAAGGAGAAAATATCATTTAACCAGAAGAGGGAAGATCCTCACTAAGTTTCCTAGCCTAAAAAAGCAGGGCACATTCCTCATTTGCATTCTGACTCAGTGAGCCCTGCTGGGTTCCTGAGACCTCAAGAGGTGGCTTACTTCTCTCTCAGAAGTAAACTATTCACAGGGAACTATATTCAATACCTTGTAATAACTTTTAATGAAAAAGAATATGAAAATGAGTATATGTATGTACATGCATGACTGGGACATTGTGCTTTACACCAGAAATTGACACAGTGTAACTGACTGTACTTCAATAACAAAAAAGAAGTAAAATATTTGTACTTTTCTATACTGTGCAGGTTTTCTGGTTTTAAACACGTAATTTCTCTCCCTCCTTTCTCCACTCCCTCTCTCCTTCCCTTTCTCTTTCTCTCTCTCTCTGTATTTTTTTAAACTGTAATATTTGCTTTCTTAAATTAAGACAAAATGAGATAATAGTCCTTCAATGAAAAAGAGTAAACATAGCTACGAAAGGACACAGTATCCTGGCATTATTATATAACATCATTGTGTTTCTATCTTTTCCGTGCTCTGCATGCTAGTCTCCAAATAAACAGTGCAATTGTTGGCAAAAATAAGAGTTAGAAACAAGCTAGAATGACCTTAGTGCAGCCAGTCACCCCTCAGCACATCATGCAGAGGACCCCGGTCCCCTGCACTCAGCTCTCCGAGGCCCGGGGCAGGAGTCAGGCCGTGGTCCTGAAGAAGCAACGCAGATGGTCTCAGCCCTGGGAGTCCAGGCCTCAGACTTGGCCTCCTCCCGAGAACCATCTGCGGGCAGATCCCAGCCTTCCTGTAGCCACAGTCACCAGCTCCCGTGGGCTCAAAGAGGCCCAGCCCAGCATGAAAGGAAGAAGGGGAGTACTCAGTTCTGGCCTTGGGGCAGATGTCCGGTGGGGCGGGCTGGCCGGCTCACCTGTCTCGCTTACCTGGCCCTCCTGCCTTTGAGTCCCAAATGCACCTGAGCCTTTGTGTTCTTGCTCACTCCTTCCTACCACTGCTGGCTCTCTGGCCAGAGCCCTGCCTGGCACTGCCATTCCTACAGCCTCTTCCCAGCTCAGTTCCCACCACCTCTCTTCCCAGATGCCAAAGCCCTGATCACAAGGTTTTGGAATTCAAAGGGTTCCGTTTTGACAAGAAAGGTGTGACAGGAGAGTAAAAGAAACAGCCAGCACACCTCTTAAGTGATGAAAAAGCTTGCATACTAAAAGACTCCCATCCTTGCAATAGAAAAAGCCCAAATGCTAATAGGGCAATTTCTATGCTCTGACAGGAGCCATTTTCCTAGGGAATTGGCAGTTCCCCAGGGAACAACAGAGAGGTCAACCCATCAGTGTGCTCCTCCTGAAGTCTCGAATGTGGGGTCTTGTGTTGGATGCCACCCAGAGCCTAGAGAGCAGTGAACTTCAGGACAGAGCAGCATGGGAGAATTCCTGGACCAAGCAAGGAAATCAGGATGCTGAGCCGAGGTTCTGGAATGCCACGGGGCAGGACGAGTGAGCTGCACATCTATGTGCACCACAGCCGGGTGCCCTGAGGAGGGCTACCGTCTTTAAAGCAAAGGCGTGCTGGCTCTGGATGGCGGGGAACAAGTCCTGTGACACTTCAGAGTGGGAACCACCAGTGGGGACAGCTGCATTTCACACTGGCTTGGTGAATCAGCTGTCAATATGTAAAAAGCCTCCCCCCTCCGCACACGCAGCCCTTGGCAGAGAGTCGTGTGTGGGCCGGTCCACACTTTTCATTACAGTGGTCCCAGGGCCCAGCGCAGGGCTTGGAGGCACTCAATGCATGGGTGCCAAGCTGGGTTTGCATGTCCCTTAGGGCTGTTTTACACCTGGCAACCTGTACACCTCAGCAACAAGGCTACAGACATATGAAAGCAAGAACCATGAGGGCTGAATTTTGGGAATTCTTTCGTGATGGGTGTGCAGAGACTGAGAAGGATTCTGGTCTGCTTTTGTTGATGAGAGAGGGTTGGTTGACAGCTTCCCGGATGACCTGGGAAAACAGGACTATTTTGTAAAGGTGTTTTCAGAGCCAGATGGCAGCTCCTGCGGAGGAGCAGGCTGAGGAAGTGTGTGAGAAAAGGCCAATAAGTCCGCAGACTCCATCAGCCTGGATTGGCGTCATGGCGTGGCCAGCGCAGACCTTGTATCTCCTGGAAGTCAAGTTCCTTGTTCTTTCAGTGGTTCACAGACACCCAAGAGATGCTTTTAGTACTTACAATGGGATCACGTATTCATTTGGAGTGTGTTCAGTGACTCAAGAATGCTTATTGAGGGTCTTCAAAAAAAACCCCTAGATCCTGTTGCTGTCTTTGAAGATGTCTAAGCCTCACTATGGGATCAGACAGGCAAATCAGTATTGTAATGCAGTAAGACCGGTCCTGTTAAAGGGAGACCTACAAGGTGGCAAGGAGAGCCTGGGAGATGGAGCCGACTGCCTGGGGGGACAGGAAGGATGATGCAAGGAGGAAGTAACTGAGCTTGGACTTGGAGGCTGCCCACAGGGCAGGCAAGCAGAGGAGCGTGGGAGAGTGAGGTGTGCTCTCTGAGGGGAGTGGCGCAGAAATGTGCAGTGAGGGTCACACGGAAGAAGGACTGATAACTAAGCAGCTAACAGATGCCCAGCACCACTGCAGACACGGTGCAAGAACAGGAAGTGTAAGGGGATATGCACGCTTCTTGCACTACCCTCAACAAGCTCGACTGAGCAAGTGACAGACACATAGAGGATCAAAGAGCTACAACTCAAGGCAGACGAGATGAGCTCTATTCGAGCAACCCTATCTCTTATCTCTGCAGGGTACCTTTCTGTCCATGAAGCTCTTTCACAGATGCTGTCACTTCATGAAAGCATTATGTTCTTAATTCCTATGAAGCCAGACTTTCCCTAGTCTGTAAATTACAAACATAAATTACACTCCACACCCGTGAGGATGGCTACTATCAAAACCCCGGAAGGTAACAGGTGTTGGTGAGCACATGGAGAAGCGGGAACCGTTCCACACTGCTGACGGGAATGTAAGATGCTGCAGCCCCTATCGAGAACAGTACAATGGTTCCTTAAAAGATTAAACCCAGAACTACCAGATGGTCCAGCAAGTCGACCTCCGAGTATATATCCGAAAGAATTGAAAGCCAAGTCCTGAAGGGATACTTGCACACATGTTCAACACAGCACTATTCACAATAGCCAAGGGGGGAAGCAACCCAAGTGTCCACTAACAGATGAATGAATAAACACAATGCGGTAGATGCATCCAATGGAATATTATTCAGCCTTAAAAATGAAGAAGATTCTGTGCTCGCTTTGGCAGCACAGACACTAAAATTGGCACGAAACAGAGAAGATTAACGTGGCCCCTGCACAAGGATGACATACAAATGTGTGAAGCATTTTATATTAAAAAAAAAGATGAAGATTTTTGACGCAGGCTTAACATGGATAGACCTTGAGGACTTTATGCTAAGTGACGTAAGCCAGTCACAGAAAGACAAATACTATATGGTTCCACTCATATGAGGCACCTTGCTCATCAGGTTCATAGAGACAGAAAGGAGAATGGTGGTTCCCAGGGCCTGGGGGTGGGAGCAGGATGGGGGTTTGTGGTTTAATGAGTGCAGAGTTTCAGTTTTGCAGGATGAGGAAGTTCTAGAGACCTGATTATGCAACAATGTGAACGTACTTAACTCTACTGACGGGCACACTTGAAAATGGTTACAGTGGGGAATTTTACATTATGTGTCTTTTACCACCGTTTCTTAATTTTTTTTTTAATTGAAGTATAGTCGATTTACAATGTTGTGCTCATTTCTGGTGTACAGCATAGTGATTCAATTATACATATACGTATATATTCATTTTTACATTCTTTTTCACTATAGGCTTTTGCAAGGTACTGGATATTGTTCCCTGCACTATCCTGTAGGAACTTGTTTCAGAAAACTTTTTTTAATTACAGGCCTTCAAAAGTGAGGGTGTGAATATTGGGCGATTCTTTTTTTGTAGTAGAAAAACAGAGCTCAGTCTTTTGGGAACAATGGAGGTGGTGGCCACTCCTGGTCTCACTGGGCTAGGATGCAGAGGACACTCCCACTGGTTGTTGAGAAAGCCCAGGCTTCTAGCTCTCCACCCCCTGAAACGCTCTCACAGCTCCTTTGAAGCGCACTGTTGGCTCGGAACGGGAGCAGTGATCCATCTAAAACCACACAGCGTGGGGAGAAAACACTGAAGCCTGACACACGCACGCGTAGCCACCTGGAAGTGGGATTGGCCAAATACGTGATGCGATGCAGCCAAGAAAACAGTGCCTCTGTGGCAAAGAAGCAGCGATCACAGGCCACTGTCTCACGCTGTCATATATGTATATTTTTTAATGCCTGCAAAAACTAATTCCACCAATTAATTCCCTTTGTGAGCACTATGGGACCTGACATTTTTCCTTGCACTGAGCCTAAGTAACTCTCATTCAAAACACAGCCCCATCTTTGTTCTCTCCTGCCTCACAGGGACCACTTAGTCAATACGTGTTTAGTGTGAATGACTGGAAGGTTGTGATGTGAGCGACTTAAGGAGCTGCTCACATAGTTAAATTCCTTATCTGTTACTGCGCCCACTCAGTTCCTACAGCAGACATTCCAAGCAGCCAGCATCTGATACTTGGGTCCGTTCTTGTAGCTCAGCTCAGATACGGGAAATGTAATACGATGAGGGTGTTCTAGGAAAGTCAGCAGGACCGAACAGCTCAGGCCAGCAGCAGAAAACATGATGCGGACATAGTTCCTATTGACTCGAGTGGCCCCAAGCCCTCCAAAGCCGCTAGACACTCGCGGCAAGATAAACTTGGAAGAAAAGGTATGTGAGGCACCAGGAATAGACGCACAGTCACACCCGTCTGACTACTACTCTTTTTATAGGAGACCAGAGTAAAGATATGTAAATAATGTAAACTTGTGAAGTTTTTTTTTTAATCTCAATTTACAAAACCAGATTTTCTGCATTTTTCTCAGGACTGTTAGAAATGGGGCACAACGTGTGACACCACTCTCTCTCCAGGGTTAGCCTCAGGATGCTATGGTAGCACCACGCACGGGCCGTGTGCCAGAGAGAGATGAACTGTAATGACGCGTGAGTGCCTTATCTCTGCAGAAGGTTCCCCAGTCCCTATGGATGGGACTGGTAGAATAGGGGCTGAAGGCAGAATGGGGGCCTGAGGTGGGCTCTGGAGATCTGCCTACCCTTCTTGCCCTCCCGCTCGGCCTGCTCCTGGGCCCCAGGAAATGGTAGGAGAGGAGGAAAGGAGGTGGCTGTGTGCCCAGAGACACAGGCCCCTCAAGGATACGTTTGCTGGCACTGATCTAAGCAGACTTGGCACCAGAAGGACTCAGCTGGCTGGCTGGGCACCAGCCGTGGGCCCCAAAGTGGCAAATCTGGCTTGGAGCCCCATCTCCCATCACGGATGGGGGCCCCCCCGGAAGTCAAACAGAGGACGTTTCTGTGCTGCAGTGTGACAGCTCCAAGGCATCGCAGCCCAGGAAGCCTTCAGGTTTGAGGGCTCCTGATCTGGGTTTTTAATTAGCTCCCTTTCCAGGCTTCCACAGAGAATAAAATCCTTCTAAATTCTTATAAGCAAAACTTCTGAGCTATACAGATAACATGAAAACACTTTTTATCGAGAGTATTTGCTTTAAAAAGAATGTTTTGTGAGAATGATTCACCTCTGTTCCCAATCAGCAAAACTGTATTTAAATATATCAGAAATCTCATGAAACCAGTGCTGAGGTGGATGTGGTTTTAGCCCGTTTAGCCTACCCTTTCCAACATGCATCTCCTTCTTCTGTTCGCCTGTCTCAGGGGGCAGCCCCGCCACCACCCACAAAAACCCAAGAATTTTCTCTGCCGGGTAATAAGAATATAACACTTACACAGCAGTGATTCTTAACTGGAGGCGATTTGGCCTCCTTGGGGACACTTGGCAATGTCTGGAGACATTTTGGGTTGTCATACTTGAGAGGGGGAGCCATGGGTGGGTAGTGAGTGCTGCTGGCATTCAGTTACTAGCGACCAGAAGTGTAACTAAACATCCTATAATGCACAGGACAGACCTCTCACAATGACGAATTATCCAGTCTGAAATGCCAGTGGTGCCAAGGTTGAGAAAAGCTGCTTACATCGAATTTACTAAGTGCTGATACTCATCTAAGTATCAATTCATTTAATCCAACACTAGGAGAGAAGGACTATTATAACTTCCATTTTGCAGATGAGGAAACTGAGGCTCAGAGAAACGAGGTATCTTGCCTAAGATCACACAGCTAGTAAGGACTAAGTGAAAATCGGAACGAGGTCACCTGGCTTCAGAGGCTATGCTGTCCCCAACTCCACGTGGCCTCCCTCACCGGGATCCAGGCAGTCATGAAGTCCTTCAGAGCCAACCTCTTTACATCCCTGGGCTCCGTCTCCATCACTCTGTCCCATTCAAGCCTGCAGCCTCTCCTCCCTGGACCATGCAGTGGACCCCTGTGTCCGGCTCCATACCCCTCTAGTTCATCTCCCTCAACCTCCCACTGCTGCCAAGAGTGACCTCAAAACCCCAAATCTGATCATGCCTCTATCCGCTGCTTGAAACCCTTCAACGGGTCCCTGTCACCTACAAGGTAAAGCCAAAATTTTCCAGGATGGTGTCTGAGCTCAAGTCAGAATCGTCACTCTCCAGGCCCTTTCCTGCTTCGCAAACCCCTTGCACATCCTGAAAAATGCTGTGCTCTTCCCGGCTCTCTGCCTCTACTCTGCCTGGAATACCCACCCCCACCTTGCTTATCTGGCAAACACCAACTGACTCTTCAAGAATCAATCCTAGTGTCAACCTCCTCCAGGAAGCCTTCCCTGAATACCTTAGACTTCCAAGTCAAAGTTCCCACTCTCTTCTTTGGTGCCTTCGCCAATTACTCCCACAGCTTTTATTTTTTTAAAAAAATGCATTACCATTTTCTTTGCTTTCAAGTCTATCCCTCAAGGGCAGAAAACTTGTATTATTTTACTTATCTCTGAAGTCTAGCCAAGTAACCGAACAGTCACCCAATAAATATCAAATGAACCAGAAGTGAAATATCTTGTATGGCTTGAATTCTTACAAGATGGGGTGAGGGTAAGACACTATCTGCAAAGAGAGTCTATCTTGTTGGACACTGCTGTTCTTAAGAAGTTCTTATTTGAAGCAGAAGTCAGTTTCTGTGTGGCCTTGACTCAAGGATCTGGTCGCATGCAGAACACAGGCTGCCGCTCACCGATCATTATCATCACCCTCCTTATCATTCCCTTCCCCAGGCAGAACATCTCCAGGGTCTCTCTTCCTAACAGACACTGTTTCACAATCCTTCATGGTCCTACAGTGTGTACTTAATTATTCAGCAAACCTAAATCACAATGGACTTAAGGAGAAGCTGGCCACATCTGGGATGTTTACGTAGATTCCTGAGATGCTGCTTAAAGTGAACTTCAAATCAGGGGTCTCAAGTTCACATGCCTGAGGGCCCAGGCACGTAAGAGCCATAAATGAAGTAGGCAGGCGGGGCTGTGGATGGACAGAACATGCCTATACCGACCATTCAACCTCTGGGATTTTGGCCATGTAGGAGTGTACGCCCAGTGTTGCCAGATCTTTGGATTTTTTGAGAAAAACTAGAAATTTGCATTTTCATATAAGCTTTTAGATACTGGTAACTCTTTTTTTTTTTTTTAATTGACAATAATATGTATGCCAAAGCAACCACACTTGGGGGCCAGCTCTGGGTGCCAGCTGTTCATCTGTGGCCTTGGCTTTAAATGAAGAATTTCTCGAGTGATTCCTAAATTTAAGTTTTTGTATTTAGTGTCAGAAATGGGCACAGAGATACTGAGAGCCGTGGACATACAAGGGCAGAATTTAAATCTGAAATGAAGCTAGAGCACCAGGGTTAAAAATAACTTCGAAGTAAAAATCACCAAAGAGGGCGAGGAAAAGCAGAAATGCAGGGACCTTCCTTGCCAGGGGCCAAAGGCAAGGCGCAGACCTAATTACCTGTCACCAAGCCCATCTCCAGCAGGGCCCGGAGCAAGCTCTGGTGCTTGTCTTGCAGCTCCTTCTCCCAGGGGAAGGCTCTGCACGTCGAGGGCCTCCCGTACCTGAGTGTCAGGTCCAGGTAGGAATTCCGGAGGTCGCCTACAGGAAAGGGAAGCACAAGATACCATTCCCCTTAGGAGAGGGAGGGTCTCCCCTCCTTAAACCCCTTCCTCTTAGAGGAACTAGAAATCAGAGCTCAGACTTAACGTTACTGGATGTTGGTTTGAGTTCATCAGGGATTTAAAATTGGCTATGATGCCTCTGCCTTGAGGTCACAAATTCAAAGCCACGTCCAAGGGAAGTGTG